ATTGAGGGCACCATGGACTGCTAGGAAAACAAACAGATTCATCCTGGAAAGGGTTAAACCAGGCAGCTCCCTGGAGGCAAGGATTCTGAGGCTCCGTCTAACATACTTTGGACGTGTTGTAAGGAGGGTCAGGTTGTTGGAGAGGGACATCATGCTTGGGAGGGTGGAGAGACAGCGCAGGAGGGGAAGGCCCTCTATGAGGTGGATTCATTCAGTGACTGGGGTAATCGGGATGGGTGTGTCAGAGACAGTGTGATTGGCACAGGATAGAGCAGGGTTTAGGGCTGGTGTACATAGGGTCGCTATCAGTTGCAAGCGACTCAACCTCAACGGCACATAACAACAGTAGCTCAAATACAATAGAAATTTATCTCTCACATAAGGTTCAAAGCTGGTGTTCCTGATTGTTCCTCATGGCTTGTCTTCCGCATTAACAAAGTGACCTGGACCACCTTGTTCCTTGTGCCTTCTACATCCAGCCAGCTAAAGGAAAAAAGCTGAAGGCACACACTTATTTCTTAAAAACCTAGGCCCAGAAACCGTAAATGCAATTCTATTCACATTCATTTGGTGGGAACTAGTCCCATGGAGTCTGAGTCATCAAGTTTAACCAAATGCCTGAGGCGAAGAAGGGAAAGGAGTGATAGGATAGAATATAGAACATGAATAAAGGACTTTGCCTAGACCTTACAGAGAGAGCAATGCAGCCCGTAGTGGTAGAGAGCTTCAAATAAGCCCAATCTCAGAGTAAACTGAGAGCCCTTGTAGTGGGAAGACGTATGAGTATGAAAGAAGTAAACAGGGCGACTTCAGCTAAAGGACCTAAGATCACTTGGAGCTGAGGCAAGTCTGTCAGGGCGGGCCTCTTCTAGGCAAGGCTGTTACGTGAGAACGGCTCCGTGGGTCCCCTGCCCAGGTAGGGATGTATATACCTGGGTACACACATGCCTGGTGTAGATTGTGCCCGGTCTGTGTAAAGGGCTGTGCCCTCAGTGTATAGCTGAATGTCTGGGTGTCTCCTTCTGGAAACAACCTAGCTTGTGACATGCATACCTGAATGGTAGGTGTGTGCACAACCACAGGCGTCTTATCTGTCTGCACAATGGAGCATGCTCATAGAGAGGACAGCCTGCGGTTGGGGTGGGGGTGGGGGTGGGGGGAGACGGTGTTCCTGAGTGTGCACAGGCCCAGCACACAGTAGGTGTCAGAGTGTGCGGGGTGGCCTACACGTGCAGCAAGCAGGTTCTAGCGCACGTGTTCACCAGAACTCCTGCCAGGGTGGACAAGGATGCCTGGCTGTGGGGGATCGCACTTCTGTGTGCCCGGCAGACAGTGGAGCTCCCTGGACTGGCTCAGACCAGGCTGGCTCCTGGCTGGGCGCGCCAAGGCCTCGCTGTGCGTTGGTGCCTGTGTGGGGTGCTGCCAAGGGTGCGTTGGCGGCGTGTGTGAGTGCGTGAACGTGTGTGCGTGTGTGTAGGAAGAGGCGTTCGCTCTCTTAGACCTTGCTTCTTTCTGTGGTTTGGTTTCTATAGAGACACTTCCTGTGGCAGAGAAAAGAGGTAGTGAGCTGGTGTTTCAGGATGTGAGGGCCTGCAGGAGCGGAGCCGGGCTTTCTCCGCAGCCTGCCCTTCTCCGCAGCCTGCCCGCCGCCCTGCGAGCTCTGAGCGGCTGGCTGCCCACTGTCCTCATGGTGGGCGCCCCCTGCGGGGACCCGTGATCAGCAGCGGCATGCCAGGGAAGCCCAAGCACCTGGGAGTCCCCAACGGGCGCATGGTGAGTGTGGGCTCGGACTGGGGCCTCGGGAAGGGGTGGGCACACCCAGGGCAGAGCCTCAGAGGCACACCCGCAGGGCCTGGGGCAAGAGCCTGTGGCTATCAACAAACAAGAGAAGTTGAGAACAGACAGCGGCAGGCTGCGGGACTGATGCCCTAGGCTCAAGACCCTCCTAGATGGCTTGGCTGGGGACCTGGGGACCCCAGGGATAAGGCTAGGACAGAGTGGGTTCAGCTTCTGGTCCAGCCCCTGCTGTACCCTCAACTGCTACTTTGGCATCTTTCGGGCTGTCTCTATCTCTGTGTCCTGGGCAGCAGGGAGGTGACGCTCCTTGCCCTCTGGCCACACCTAGTGTGCTTTAATCCCCCACACTCCACACAGCCTCAACCTTCACCTCCTCTGCCCCAGGGCTCTGGTGCCCAAAGACAGGACATACACGGACAAGGCAGCCTTCTCCGGGCCACTGCCATGCAGCTGACCCCTCTCCATCGGCTTCTTCTGCCAAACTCAAGGTCCTCAGCAGGCTGGTCAGCAGGGTCAGGCTGGGCTGGGGGAGGGGGCGTGGTTACTGTAGCCTCTACCTGCTCAGTTCTTCCAGGAAGCGATGGTGCTGGCCCCTAGGACAGCCCTGGCTGCACCGTCCGACTCCACCCTGTTAGGGCCACCAGAGGAGAGTTAAGCTTCTTCATTCATTCAGTAGATAGAGCAAGCAGTGCCAGGTCTCCTTCCCTTTCTGAACCCCTAGCCCACTTGGCAGAGCCCCAGTCCCTCCTGTCACCTCTAGGAAAGCCAGTCGGAGTCCTGGCTCCACTGGATCCAGAGATAACCTGGGTTCTAGTCTCAACTCTGCTGTCCCTTACTGGGGATGGAAGTCGAGAAAGCTTCTCTAAGAGTCTCAGTTTCCTCATCTGAAAAATGGGGAGATTGGAACAGAGAGTGGCACAATGAACAAAAAGATCCCAACCCATTATGGGGCATCCATAAACAGTGGTTTAGTGCTCCCCCACACTCAGCCCTTCCTCACAGATCACCTGCTTCACACATAGAAAAGATCAGTCACCCCTCATCCCTACCCTTGCCTCCTAACTCGCAGGACCTGTCTTCATCTCTTCTTCTAGCATCTCTTACAGCTCAGTCCTGGGCTGTGCAGGTGGGAAGGAGCCAAAACTCCTGAAAAACTGCTCCAGCCCCCTTCTTACTTTCTCTCCTCCCAAATGAACTCTGAAAACTCCTGGAAATATGTCTTCCCCACATTCCACTCCGGAAGCCACAACTTGACCCTGTTCACATGTCCAGGCCATGCATCCAAGAAGCAGACTCAGTCTGGGGACAGACCCAACTTCTGCCCTCCTCTGTCAACTTAGGGTGTCCCTACCCCAGCCATTCAGAGTAGTGAGGGTGCCCAGCCTCTGGCCTCTGGCTGTCAAACCCATCAACTCTCACACACAGGTTTATCTTTGCCCTTTCTGGGCACGTTCTGAACTCTCTGCCACCTCTTAGAATGTGGAGAGTCATCACCTGCTGGTCTCTGTCACTACACAGCTCTCTAGGATACTGCTCAGCTGGGATGAGGTAGATGGACAGGTCTGCACTCAAATGCAGGGATGTGAACAGACAGGAACCTGGGGCCAAGGGTCTCGTTTCTTCCAGAAGTGATTCTGAAGAAGGTTCAGGGATAAATGACATAACCAAGGTCATCAGCGAGCTGAGAGACCCACATTTGCACCCAGCTGAGCTGACTCCCATTCTGTGCTCTTCCACCTCCTGCATTGCCTGGCTGGGGTCCTCCTCCTCCACCTGCCACCTCCCCCAGTGCCGTTGTCCCTGCTCAGGCAGCTCTGTTTGTCAGCCGTCTTTCTGCCACTCAGCTTGTCAGACAATTGCAATGAAGCCTGTCACTTAGAGATGGCTCCACACATCCCCAGCTAACATTCCACTTATTCGTTCGTTCATTCATTCATTCCACAGACCTTCCTTACGTACTGGCCTTCCTAGGCACTCATGTTCCAGGCACAAGAGACTTGGGGCCTGCCCTCCAGCAGACTCTGGTCATGGGAGTAAAAAAATTAGATATAAATTAGGTTTGTATCAATGAGGTAAAATTAGATCAAAATTAAGAGTTACATGTTGGGTATACACGAGCCCTGTATGGACCTGAGGAAGGGGAATGAACTTTTGTACTGAATATGGTCATTAAAGAATGTGCTACCTAGTGGAGGAAAAGGCGTGGCCTGGGCGCAGCAGACACAGGTGTGTGTGCAGCGAGTGGGGGCTGGACTCGAACCCAGAGCATGGTTAGAGAGCATACCCATGCTCTCAGGGGGCCTGTTTGTCTTTCCCACCTGAAGAGGACAACAATAAAACTGGACGTCTCTGAGCCAGGCACTCATGTGCTAGCTAGCCTTTTTGATGGCTCAGGCTGGGCACAGGTTGATGGAAACAGACACCTAGCTTTCAATAAGTCATTCCTAGAGAGGGTCTTGGAGCCTCAGTTTCCCCAAGTAAGGATGAAATGAGCTGCTGATGTACAGAGTGACCAGTAGAGAAGACTCTCATTAATATGAACTTTCATTTGAGATCTGACTCCTGCAGACGGTAAAAGGTATTAGGAGCCCTGAGCCCTGAGCCTCCTGAACCCTAAGCCCCTATTGATCTTTCTCACTTGTACCTTAAGGCTTGAGGCCCTGTGGGGGAAGCACCTTGGGTGAGAGAGACCTGAGTCTTCAGTCAGGTAAACTTGAGCTCTAATCAGAGTCCCTTTCTAGCAATGTGATTTCATTGGGTTTGCTAATCTGTAAAATGGGGCAATACCTGTTGCACAGGATAAGGACGGAAGATTGAGGGACAGTATGAGGGAGTGTCTGTCACACAGATGGAGGTTTTGGGCACCACACTCACTTTAGTATATCAGGTACGTCCCCCTGAAGCCCATTTCCTTAAAAAAAAAAAGTCTGGAAAATTGAGGCCTGAGTTGGTGTGTCACTGACCACCACACCCTCCTTCACCTTCCTTCCCCTTTTCTCCCAGTCGCTCACCACTTCTCGAGTAGGCTGTGCAGGGCGAGGCCTTCCCTGCTTAGCACAGCTTCTTCAGGGCTCGAAGCCTCTCTGTCCCACTGTGCCCAGGCACTTCCCTGACAGCTGTCAGCCTACTGCTTTTACCTATGGGCCACATTCCCCTTCAACACTGCCCTAAGAGGTTAGAAATGCCATAACTTATGGGCCACATTCCCCTTCAACACTGCCCTAAGAGGTTAGAAATGCCATAACTTATGGGCCACATTCCCCTTCAACACTGCCCTAAGAGGTTAGAAATGCCACAACGAATGCTGCTAGGGGGAAAACTGAGGCTGAGAGAGAGAGAGAGGTTACTTGGCCCCAAATGACAGAGCTAAAACTGATCTCCATCTCTACTCCCTCCCACCTCTAGGTTTCTGTCCCAGCTTTGTCTGAGTCCCAACTGTGTAACCCACAACTAGTGGTGCAAGAGGCCCTTCGGAGAGATGGTGGGGCCATAGCAGCTTTTGGCCATTGAGAGGGTTAGCCTTCTTGGTGAAGAGCATAGTAGGGGCCTGGGGCCCTAAGGACAGGAAGGTTAGTTACCTCCTGGAGTTGGGAGTGCAGCTCAGTTTCCTCATGCAACCCAGATCTGCCTCCCTGAAGACTTCAGACTGGCAGGACAGAGAGGCTGTCTGTCGGTCAGTGTGCTGGGAAACCAAGTCCCTGGAGGACTGGAGTTGGGGATGATTAGCTTTAACAGGCAGAGATTGGGGAGCATTTTGATGGAGGGAGCAGGAGCAGATATCCAGGGAGAGGGTGCGGGGGGGGGGGGGGTGTCTGGAGGGTCTGGCTTAGAGAAGGATGTGAGGGGGAAGGAAAATGGTGAGGTTCAAGAGTTGTCACCCAGATAGGACTTCAGATTGCAAAAATGGCAACTCCCAGGCTGCCCAGGTCAGGAGTGGGATGAGGCTGGACAGTGGGCAGTAGTGCCAGCCACACCTGAAGACACAATTCATTAAACATAATGTTAAAATCAAAACCTCTGCAGGTCACACAAAATCAGCATGTGTGCTAGCCTCAGCCCCTGGCGCCTTTCTCAAAGAAAGGCGGAGCCAGGGAGGGTTCTGAGCAAGGCAGAGGGGGTGCAGGAGGAGGACAACATCAGGCAGCAGCAAAGGAAGGGGGAGGCAGGAGAATTCCTGTATTGGGGGCAGGAGGAGGGTACGCATCCTTGCAGTCAGGAGCAGCTTGACAGAGCGTGGGGGAAGGGCACACGGGGGCGGGCAGCAGCTGGATGAGCAGCGGGGAATGAGCCGTGGGCTTCCCGTCCGTCCCTCCCGCCGAGCGCCGAGGATTCAGGACATCGCTTGTGCGCGCTCCGGGTGATTCCTCAGGTGAAGTGGGTTAGACAGGGAGGGCAGGGCAGGGAGAACCAGGGCCGCCCGCTGGGCCGGGAGTGCTGTGCTGGGGTGCTGTTTTCACGCCAAGCAGCAACTGCACAAACTTTTTCCTCCTCCTTTCTCCCCTTGCTTCTCAGAGAGGAGGGTAAGAATGTAAAATTAGAAAGAGTCGAGCCTGGGATATGAACTCCGGTTCAGTAGATCCCCAAACCGGTGCTCTTTCCTCTGTAGCGCCTACTAGCTGGTCAGGCACCAATGCTAGCAGGATCACAAAAAGAGTAACGTTTCTTGAGCATTTACCATATACTGTTATAGTACTTTGTGAGCTTTTTATTTTCATTACTCATTTAACCCCACAAAACTTTTTAAAGTCACTGCCATTATTCCATTTTTATAGAGAAGGGAACAGAGAGATCAAATGCCTTGCCTGAAGTCACATAGCACAAATGTGAGCTCAGGTGTCTGTCCACAAGTAACTTTTCAGGCAGGCCACTGGGGAAAGTTCCTCAAAGGGAGAGGGGGGCTGCTCAGTGCCAGCCAACATTCCTGTTCTGAAAAGAAGCTCAGAGTTTCTGGAACATCTTAAAGAAAGGACAAAGAGCTCATGTAACATCTGATTTTTTGAATGTAGAAAATTCCTTTAAATTAAAAGAATTCTTAGAGCCAAAATACCTTACACCAGTTGTCGTCAAATTGATTCTGACTAATGACAACCATATATGTGTCAGGGAATTGGGCTCTACAGAGTTTTCAGTGGCTGGGGTTTTTTTAGGTTTCACTTTTGTTTGGAAGGGAGCCAAATCACCAGATCTTTCTTCCAAGGTACCTCTGGGTGGACTCAAACTTCCAAGTTAGCAGCCAAGCTCACGAAGGATTTTCAGCACCCAGAAGCTCTAATATCCTCTAATAGCCTACGTAGCTCCAGCCCACGTACGATTGCTCTGGAACCTGGGTGCTTCCAGGGTGCTGTGGGAGTAGGGAGCAGAGATTTCAGCAAGGAGAAGGGGGAAAAGCTTCCCGGGGGAGGAGATATTTGCAGGCCTGTTTCCAGAGGTGCTGGAAAGAAGGGACAAGTGGGAGCTCCCTAAGACAGGGCCATGTGAAAAAATGTAGGAGGTGAGAGGGAGAGAGGAATCGGGGATGACTCAAGCCCTGGAGTTGGGGTTCCAGGTGATGGGAAGAAAGGATGCAGGTTTGACTGTGTCTCTGTAGGTGCAGAGGTGGGTTCCATTTGAAGCTGGACTGAGTTTGAGGAGCATCTAGGACATTTTGCAGGGAGATGCTTGCACCAAGTCAGTCAAGTGTGTCTAGAGCTGGAGAGAATATGACTAAGACAGAGGGCCCAGGACAGAGCTAGAGGTGGGTAGAGGCTTCTGAGTGGGTGAGGAAGCTGGAGGAGCTGCTAGAAAGGTAGGAAGAGATTCAAGGCGACCATTGCCAGAGTCATTTTGAGAGGAGGGTTTTTCTGTTTCACTAAGGGGAATTCCCAGAGACATGTGAACTGGGCTTTGGGAGGTGGAGGAGGGAGGATGGAGTCAGCCTCTACATGCTGCTCACAGTGTGATCCATGGACCAGCGGCATCAGCATTGCCTGGGAACTTGTTATAAATGGAGAACCTCTGGCCCTATGCTGGACCCACTGAACTTGAATGACCTTGAGGTCATTCTAGTCCACACTCAAGTTTGAGAGCCATTGCTATATATCAGAGTATAGCATCCTGTGCTCCACCTGAGGTGGGCTGGGCGCTTTGGGAACCCCTAAGTCCCAAGAGGAAATAGTGCAATAAAGAGATCAATGGCTACAGAGACACCTCTGCTTAGTCAAAGCCAACAGCAAACAGTGACACAGCACTTATCTGCTGTGTACTGGCTACTGTCCTATAGGAAACTCATTTGAGCCTCAGAGCAGCTCTGGGAAGTGTTACTATTATTAGCATCATCCCCTATTTATAGCTGGAGAGGCAAGCAGGTTAAGGAACCTGTCCAATGTTATGCAGCTAGTAAGTGGCAGAGACAAGATTAAAGTCTATGCTCCTACCCACTGTTACAGCAGGGGAGTTCCTTTGATCTTATGCTAGGGTGTGAGGTCTAATGTTAGAGCACTGGAGTTTCTCTGGACCTGGTTTAGGGAGCACATCGTGAAGGTGAGTGGAGCAAAGGTGAAGAAAGAACATAGGACACGGGCAGAAGAATGGTTAAAGACAGAGTAAACTTTATAAAGTAAAGATACACACGGTTTGAAAATCAGCATATATGAATCTTGTAAATAAACCAGTATAAAAATTTTATTTAAAAGCAAATAAAGATACACTGAGTAAATTTTATTATTTAAAAGAAACACCCTCAAGAGAAGAGGAAAGGAGCTCTGGTGGTCTAGTAGCAACTACTGCGTTGCAGTCCTGAAGGCATGTAGTTCAAATCCACCAGATGCTCTGTGGGAGAAGGAGGGGTAATCTCCTCCTGTGCCAGTCAGATTTGATTTGACAGTACACAACATGAAGGAAAAAAAAAAGGAGGGTTTATCTGTGCTCGATAGAGAGATAGGTGAGAGCAGACGCCCTCATCTTTTTTGTCTTTTATTTTTTGGCACCTCCTAGAGTGGCATCCACTTCCTAAACCACATGCCTCTGGAAACTCTATGAACTTGGAGAAACAACGATATCTATGGAAAGGCATTAGGTCTTTTGTTCATAGAATCACTGTGAGTTGACCTCAACTCAACAGCCATCAACCAACAATAACAGGATCATTAGTATACTTGCACCCTTTGCAGAGACAGGTCCCCGGCAGAACTTCATTGGTTGCTGCTGGAAGGGTCAATCACTGGAATATGCTGATTTGTCTGCTGCTTGGATTCCATCACCTGCTTCTCCCCTAGACTTTCATATTTTCTTTCTTCTCTTACCCTAACACCCACCATGCTGTGCACCTGGGCCCACCCAGGAGGGTCTGGGGGAGGAGTGACCCAGGGATCTCTGTTAGGTACTTGGTCTAAGTGCCAGCACACAGTGGTTGGTGCATGATATGAACAAGAGCCAGGGGCTATCTGAGTGAAACCCTGGCCAAGTAGGGGTGTGTCTGGGATGCCCAGAGTGGTCTTCCAGATAATGGAGACCACAGGCCTAGACTGTCTCTTGGAAATCTGCACTGGACTCTGTTCTGACTGTTTCCCCTCTGATCTCTCTTAGGTTCTGGCTGTTTCAGATGGAGGTGAGTGACAGGCACATGGGAGCCTGGCTGGGGTCAGGAGTGGGGATGGGTTGGAGGCAGCTCTGCTATGGACCTGGAGAGTGGATGGGGAAGGGCAGGGGTGGGGCATGGCTCACTCTCACTTATCTCTCCCCTTACAGAACTGAGCAGTGTGACAGGGCCCCAGGACCAAGGCCGGGGCAGCTCACTCAGCATCCACAGCCTCCCCAGTGGGCCCAGTAGCCCCTTCCCCACTGAGGAGCAGCCTGTGGCGGGCTGGGCCCTGTCCTTTGAGCGGCTACTGCAGGACCCATTGGGCCTGGCTTACTTCACGGTAAGCCCTGGGGTGAGGTGGAGATGATGGGTGGCAGTGACAAAGAGGCAGGAAGGGACCAGGCACATGGGGAGGATGGGTGGGCGGCGGGGGTGGGGTGGGGGCTTCCCTGCTTCTTCCAGCGGAGGCCTTTCCTTCTTCCTTTTCTCTATCCTTGTCTTTGCCTCTCATTTCCTCCTTGTTCATCTGGATCCACTGCGGTCTGCCCTCTGTCTGACTTTGCTCTTTGCCCTGTCTCTGCCCCATCTCTGACCACATCCCCTGACTCTGGCTCTATCTGCCTCCCCTTTACCCTCCCACTTTAGGAGTTTCTGAAGAAGGAGTTCAGCGCTGAGAATGTGACTTTCTGGAAGGCCTGTGAGCGCTTCCAACAGATCCCGGCTAGCGACACCCAGCAGGTGCAGGGTGGTGGGGGAAAGGGGAGAAGCGCCATTTGGTATCAGGGTGGGGACCAGGGCTTGGACCCATTTACTCTTCCCTGACCTGACCATCTTCACACCTGGTCTGATCTTCCCTTGGCCCCAGCTAGCTCAAGAGGCCCGCAATATCTATCAGGAGTTCCTGTCCAGCCAGGCGCTGAGCCCGGTGAACATTGACAGGCAGGCATGGCTCGGTGAGGAGGTGCTGGCCCAGCCCCGGCCAGATATGTTCCGGGCGCCACAGCTTCAGGTGGGTAGGTCCAGGAGGTGTGGCCTGAAACAGGGGTGCGTGACCTCAGCAGGCCCACTTCATGACAGAGATGGAGTCAGACCAAGGAGGGTTTGGATGCGAGTTTGATTTCATAAGCCTGCTCGGAAGAAAACTGGACAGTTTCTTCCAGCAAAGATTTACAGCCTCGGAAATGCAGTGAAGGCTCACTATGCATCAGAACCGGCTTGACGGCAGTGCATTAGTTTTTAGGATTTGGATACAACCTAAATGAAGCCCTGATGGTGCAGTGGTTAAAGCGCCCTGCTGCTAACTGAATGGTTCGTAGTTGGTACTACTCACCAGCCAGCCATTGTGCGGGAAAAGATGTGGTGGTCTGCTTCACAACTGTGGAAACTCTATGGAGCAGTTCTACTCTGTCCTTGTCAGGTCGCCCTGAGTCAGAACTGACTCGTGGGGAACAAGTTTAGCTCTGGTTTATGGAGCATCATGCAGGGTCATGGCCTGTGTCAAGGGCTGCAGTGCAGGGTCTAACCAGGGGCCTGGGTGGGAGGCTACGGCATTCTAGCTGAGGGGCGGGGGTCAAGAGCAGGGGCAACCTGGACCATGGCGGTGGGCGCCCGGAAATGTGGCCTGGGAACTAGGGGGCCAGTGTAGGAACTTCTTTCCTAGGTTCAGGGCAGACCCCACCCCTGGGCCACTCGCTGCGCTTGGTAAGCCCCCTCCAACTCACAATCATGGCTTCTTCCCAGCAGATCTTCAACCTGATGAAGTTCGACAGCTACGCACGCTTTGTCAAGTCCCCGCTGTACCGCGAGTGCCTCCTGGCCGAGGCTGAGGGACGCCCCTTGAGGGAGCCTGGCTCCTCACGCCTTGGCAGCCCAGACACAACAAGGAAGGTGTGGCTAGAGGGGATGTGATATGGGAGGCAGGGCCCTGCAGACCGTCTGTAAGTGGGGACACCGCTGAGTGCAGATCTGCGGGGCAAGGGGGGGTGTCCATGCATGAGAGTTAGGCTCAATTCCATGCCAGGCCTTCCTGTACCCGCAGAAACCGAAGCTGAAGCCCGGGAAGTCGCTGCCATTAGGCGTGGAAGAGCTGGGGCAACTGCCACCTTCTGAGGGCCCTGGGGGCCGACCACTCCGCAAGTCTTTCCGCAGAGGTGAGGACCAGAGCAGGAGGCTTCGAGAAGTGGCTGGAGACAGGGTGGTGGGAGTTTGGCCAAGCCTTGGGAATACCCAATCTCTCCTAACTGCCCCCCCCCATTGCTTAAAAACGGAAATACATGTTCCCCTGCGTGGTGCACCTCCTAGGCTAAACCCTAGAAATTTGGGAAAACCCCTATGGTAGCAAAGTGTCCAGGGACCCAAATGACAGTGGACCCCTGCAAGAAAAGTCAAACAGGGTTCATGAGAACTGAACTCCTGGACGGGGCTAGAGAGTGGCCAGGGCAGAGGGTTAGTGGACTTGGGCAGAAGGACAGGCATCTCCGCTCATTGCTGCCCCTCCACAGAGCTGGCAGGTGGTGCCGCTGCAAACTTGCGCCGTGAGTCTCAGGGCTCTCTAAACTCCTCTGCCAGCCTGGACCTCGGTTTTCTCGCCTTTGTCAGCAGCAGGTCTGAGGTGAGTAGGCTATTGAGACAGACAAGCTGCAGATCAGAGCTACAACTCTTCCCATGTTCTGTGGTGGCCACCATCATTCCCAGTGATGGGCCCCATTTCCACCTCCCGGCTTGCTCTGTGTGCCCAATTTCCTGTCCTCACCACAACGGGTCCTATACGTTTTCTGCCTGCAAATGTGTGGGTCCCTATGGATGGAGCCACCTACGTAGTGTATACAGCATACATGGGTGTATATGTGTGTGGCCTCGAGGGTAAATCTGGGTGCTCTATCTTGTATATGCTCCTCTTGAGAAAAGAGGGGTGTGTGTGTGTGTGTGTGTGTGTGTGTGTGTGTGTGTGACTTTGAGGGTGGATCTGGCTGCCCTACCTATGTCTATGCTTCTATAAGAGGCTGCCATGTGTGTGCATGCATGTGCCCCAGTGAGCATACCTGTTTTTGTGTTAACTGTCTGCACACCACACATAACCTCCTGCCACCTCTTCCTCGAACCAGAGCCACCGGAAGAGCCTTGGGAGCACAGAGGGTGAGAGCGAAAACCGGCCAGGGAAGTATTGCTGTGTGTACTTGCCCGACGGCACAGCCTCCTTGGCCCTGACCCGACCCAGCCTCACCATCCGTGACATGCTGGCTGGCATTTGTGAGAAACGAGGCCTTTCTCTACCTGACATCAAGGTCTACCTAGTGGGCAAAGAGCAGGTGTGAACTTGATCAGGCCTGGTCCCAACTCTGTCCCCCCTTCCTTGCCCTAACTCTAATCTCATTTCTGTGTCTGCCTGCAATACCAATTCCTTTACTAATCTCCTGGGACAACCCCATTCCTTAGCATAACCTCCTTCCTATCTCTAGCTTCCCATGACCATCCTGGTTTCAAATTTCCTTCATCATCCTTACTGATGATGTAAAGCCCAACCTTGCCAGGCCACGAAAAACTTTCCTGTAGGTGAAAACCAGCATTGCATGTTAAAGAGGAGTCTAGCTCTGGCGGCCTAGTGGCAAGAAGCTGTGCTGCAATCCCAAAGGCACATGGCTGGAGGCCACCAGCTGCTCCATGGGAGTAAGATGGGCATTCTCCTTCCATGCGACTAACTGCCTCTGAAAACCCACTGGAAGGTCAGCTATGAGTTGGTTCCGACTCTACAGTATGGAACAACAACAACAACAGGGGAAAACAAAACACTTTTAGATCCAATAAGGGACTTCTAAGAAGAAGGCTACATTCCAGGGACACCAGTCAGATTGCATCCACTCAGGAGATAAATCCTAAGGCTGGTAGGTCCCTGCAGAGACCTGGGCTCTGCCCTCCAGACCTAGGGACTGAACATTATTCAGGCAGGATGTTATGAAGGCTAGGGGATCAAACCTCAGGAAAGAGAGTCCAGGAGGAAAGTAGATCTTTTCGGCTAGTCTGAGAAGGCTTCATGGAAGAGACAGCATTGAGGAGAGGAGAATTTTCCTGAAACAGTGGGGGAACTGGGCATTTCAGGCAGAGGGCATAGTTTAAGCAAAATCCTCGAGATGGGTAAGTGCAGGACGTGTTAGGTACCTGGGACGTGGGGGTGTGAGTGAGGACAGCAATAAGGAGGAGCTCTGCCCACTTCTAGGCCACCAGGGCAGCCGCCAGCAGCCCAGATGGGCCTTCATGTCTGGCTAAATATAACTTCACACCCACACTCCATGTGTCCCTGAAGCACAGCACAGGCCTAGCGCCTGGAGAGGCTGGGCCGCCCTCCCCCACCCCTGGATGGTGCAGGCACATTGGGTCTGTAGGAGTGAAAATTACAACAGTTACTGTTTATATACCTACTTTGTAATTGGCACTGCACTAGGCGATTTACATCCCTCTGGACTCTGAGTGATTTAGTGTACACCTGACGACTCACAGGACGGCTGGAGGTTTGGATTCATGGAGTGCCATGGGAGCAAAGCCTGGCAGTCTGCTTCCATAAGATCACAGCCACTGAAAACTCTGAAGGGATCATTTTCTGAAACACATAGTTGGAAGTGGCATTATTGTCTTCATAAAAATCTCATCCCAGGGACAATAAAGAGACAAAACATGTTCTTAGTAAGAGAGATGGAGAGAAGCAGACAGATTAAAAAAGGGAGTAGTCCTGGGTGGCTAGCCAAAGGTACAGGGGGAAATACATCCCCCTGGACTATCTGGAGTTCGGATGCCTGAAAGACAAAGAGGCAGCTGTCTTGGAGGCTGACTCAGGTCTGACCTAGAAAGGCGTGGGGTCTCCATGACCCAGGATCTAAATGCCCCTTACTGAAACCTGTGACTACTTCATGCCCTACTCCCTGCCCGGTTTCCATAGCTTCATTCCTTCCCCAGGCTCTGTCCAGCCTTCTTACTCCTTTTTTCTCAAGGCCTCAAACTCCTATGCCAAACTGACTTTAGTGCATCTGCATCCCTGCCACTCTCTCCCTCTGATCCGTAAGGAGCCCCTAAAACTGTTACTGTCAGGAAGTAACAGAGGCTCTCTCAGACCCTGGAGGGGCTCAGGGATGGGGAAGAGACTGTGACCTTACTTGGCATCCGCAGAAAGCGCTGGTCCTGGATCAGGACTGCACTGTGCTGGCGGACCAAGAAGTGCGACTGGAGAACAGGATCACCTTTGAGTGAGTGCGGCCCTGCCTCTTGGGGGCGCTGGCGGGTCTCAGGAGCTACCCCTTGGGGCGGTGTCACCTCTGGACTAAAAGCCACGCCCGTGTCAGTCCCCCTTCAGCCCTCGCCCCAGTTTCTCGGCTCTCCCTTCTCTTTCTTGCCTCGGTGGGTTGGAAGGGAGGCGGGCCGCCTTGCCGCCCTTTGGCAGCCCTGGGTCCCGCGCAGGCTGGAGTTGACGTCTCTGGAGCGGGTAGTGCGAATCTCGGCCAAGCCCACCAAGCGGCTCCAGGAGGCGCTGCAACCCACCATCGCGAAGCACGGCCTGAGCTTGCAGCACGTGTGGCTGCACCGGGTAAACGGCGGGGGGGTGGGGCGGGGCGGGGCTGAGCCGGGGGACTGTCCTGTGGTCTGAGGCCGACCCCTCCCCACAGCCAGGCGAGAAGCAACCACTGGATCTGGAGAAGTTAGTAAGCTCAATAGCTGCCCAAAGACTGGTTTTGGACACTCTCCCAGGTAGGAGACAGGGGCCCCCAGAAATGCTTGGTCCGTAGGGATGGGATGCAGACGTAGGAGGAAGAGGGAGCGGGCGGGAAGCGAACCCGAACGGTGGCGCTCTCTGCCACAGGTACTAAGATCCCAGATGCCGGTGACCTATCCCCTCACTGCAGCCAGGTGAGCCAGTGGCAGGGCACCCTGCCCTCTTCCTCCCACCCATTGGTGTTTTCCCTCCTGGCTCTGCCTCTGACCCCACTTTCTCACAGGGCGGCCTGCCCAGGGCTCAGGACAAAGCCGCCCGTTCCTCATCACCACCCCCGAACCCTCTGGCTGCTAGAAAGCGACAGACCTGTGACATTGAAGGTACACTGGGAATAGTGAGGGCTGGGGCCTAGAGGGACAATGGTGTTGGAAGCCCTTGCAGAAGTTATAGTCTTGCCCAGAGGCAGAGGATGGGCTGGGTGCTGGGGCTATTGGTAATGGGGTCCAAAAGAGGGGAGGAGGACGCTGGTGGCCCTGACCTTGTGAATGTCCTCAGGCCTGGTGGAGCTGCTGAACCGGGTGCAGAGCAGTGGCGCTCATGACCAGAGGGGCCTTCTGCGTAAAGAGGATCTAGTGCTTCCAGAATTTCTGCAGCTGCCCACCCGGGAGCCCAGCACTCAGGATGCCCCACCACAGACGGAATCAGAGGCCCAGTCCAAGAGCAGCTGTGTGGACTCCACTGCGCACTCTGCCCTCTGACAGCTGCCCAGCAGTCCAGGCTGGCTGCATGGGGCCTGCGGGCTGAGCATGCCACGGTCCGCTCTGCATGCCCTTCTGTGCCATGAGTGTCCCCGCCCCTTCTTCCACGGGCTGGCCCTGTGGAAGAGTGGGGAGAGGGTGGAGAGTGGGCTCACGGGAGCCATAGCCCGTGGCTGCCACCACGTGACCCCTCCCAGGCTTGCCCACTCTCCTTGCACAGCCAGGCCCTTGGGGGGAGGTGGGTCCAACTCAGAGGGGCAGTGTAGGCAGTGGGAGCCCCTCTACCCTCTGCCAGGCCACATGGGGGCAGGAGGAGGGGCCGGGCTCCTCCTCAGGGAGCTGATATGAGTCAGGCCAGGAGGTGCAGGTAGACCATCTCCCCATCCTCCAATATAGACTGAACTGTACATTTGGATTTTGAAGTTGGCTTTGGGGCAGCTGGGTATGTCCTGGATGTATGATATTGTTATTATAATAATAATTATTATTCTGCCATAAGGTGTGCTCCTTGTGTGATATTCCAAGTCTGCCTTGTTTCCCCCCCATCCCCTACCTCCTGCCCTAACCACACTGCCTCTGTCACCTCAGTCATTGCAAGGAAGTTCTTGGGGACCTCAGGAGGTGCCTCCTGACTTCCTGTTGCCAGAAGCTCCGTTCTTGGCTGTGCAGGGCTGTGTGTGTGTGTGTGTGTGTGTGTGTGTGTGTGTGTGTGTG